TTTCTTAGTCAATTAGTACAACAATTTATCACTTGTCTTATGGGGATCATATTAACACATCCCAGACCACTGATCTCCCTGAGAAATACCCAATGTGACTTTTGGAGACAAAATCCCAAGAATTTTAAAGAGATAATGTGTGTGTGTGTGTGTGTGTGTGTGTGTGTGTGTGTGTGTGTTTTACACAATTGCTATTAGTAGCTATTACTTCCTGTTCACCTGGATCAGTCAACATGATATGAGCAATAAAATGAACCAGTGGGATACTGGAGAGGTCAACATGTTTCCTGCTAACTAGAATATAGCATACAGTTGAAAGGTTGATGTAACCCTGATTATGTTTTTTGATACTTTCAGCTGAAAGCTAACTGCTTCTGATGGTCTTAATAATAAGGAGAGAGAGGAAAGGAAGGAAAGAGGGAAGAGGGGAAGGGGACGGAAGGAAAAGGAAGGAAAGGAAAGGAGAGGGTACAAAAATACAACAGATCAATAACTGCATACCAGGTGCTTTGCTCAAGCAACAAAACCACATCTGGGATCAATGGCTGCAGAGTTATTCTAAGGGGTTGCCAAAATTAGGTGGAATAAATATTGATTGATGCTTGGTCATTACCAAAATCCCAAATCAAGTTCTTCATTAGCTTCTGGGGAATGGTATCTGCAAGGAAATCGGGAGGCCTGGCCCCCTGACTGCCTTCAGAGCACGTTGTGGGAGGTGCAGACCAAAGGAGAGTTTACACATCAGTGACTAAAGTTTCCTGCCACTAAGCATAAGAAGTCACTCATGAGCAGCGTCCCTAAACCACAGCTACAGGATGTGGGCAAAAGCCCTTGTATAATTGTTGGCTGAGAGCCAACGAGCATTCATCCCTGAGCAAATACTTGGACTTTTTTTTTTTTTTTGCTGTTATTAACCTTTGAAAACCACAGGCATTAGCCTCTCTTTTTCTTCCCCTTGGCACAAGTCATCTTCTTTTCTCCAACTTGGTCTCCTGTGTGTAAAGAATTTCTGAGGAGCTTTTAAGCCTAAATTTAATACTTTTGCCCTCCCTCTCCTGCCCCACAAAATGCCAGGCAGAGGTAAAGCAGCCTTACAAAATATCTGTTGGCACTGCTGGCTTCCGCCGCTTTGTTTTCGCGTTTTGATCAGATGGGAAATCAGAGAGGTCTATGAGTGACCTTAGCCTTTAAGAAAAGAAAGATAAATTCTGGAAATTCCCCCTAACAACTATGATCTATTGTTTTCTCACTTTAGAATTAACCCAGCAAACATGATACACTGATTCGGAYGACAGGCCTCTGCAAATGGAGATATTATATTGAAAATCGAAGTGTGCCAAAAATAGGAATTGGGAGATTTGCTCTAATATCAGCATTGCCAAGAATTTGACATCTTTTTTTTTGGACCAATTTCTTCCTAGTTTCTAAGAGGCCTTTGCTTCATAGTCTGTGAAGTGAAGGCATTTGTATAGGTGGTTTCCATGCTATCTTAGCCCCAGGGTTTTGAGAATTGGCTTCCTTAGAACAGCACAGCAAAGGGACAAGGAAAGTGAGCCTTCAGGCAAATGATGCAAAAACAGCCAACTCACAAATCACCCACTCTTTTCCACTTAAAAGACAGCCAAAAGTCATGCAGAAGAAGAAGCTTGATTGGCCTCTGGAAGGTGAGGCATTCTGACTTTTGACCTTCCCTCTTATAAACTCTAGAGAATTCATCAGTCTTGCCTCTGTAACCTAATGCTCCACATCTTGACATGAAAACCCAAGTTTACCTTACTCTAATCCATAACAGTTTTGTCTTTTAAGTGAAAAGATGGCAGACAGACATTATTGATTCCAAGTCAACACAAGGAGAATTTCCTAACCATCAAAACAGACCAAGATGTATCAAAAGACTGTGGGGAAATAGTCAGTGGATATACTTATGCCATTTCTGAAAGGAGGCTTATTAAAAATTTTCTTGTGAGAATTACTGAACGAAATAAAGATCCAATAATGAGGACCATTCACCTAGACACTTTTGTGGTGATAGTACTTAATGCCTCCTTTCTAATCTATTCACTGTTAAACTTATGGCATTCCTTTGGTAAATATAAGTGGACATTTCAGATATCAGTCTGAAGAAACTCAGATATACAAGAAGGTCCCCAGGATTCTGGCTGCCAATTGTGCATAAGGAAAAAGAAGCTAAGTGAAAACACCAAGCATCAAATGAGAAAGGTCCATGGTGACCAAGAAACAACTCTTGGAGGGAAGTGAATTGAGTTGCCTTGGATTTGTCCCATTTGATGCTACTGAAGTCACAACACTCTATAGAAAGGTATTCAGTGTTTTATATTTAATAAAAGAATTTGACTTCCTTTTATTGAACCCTCAAAAGATCTTTATGAAGCAGGCAGAAATAGTATCATTCTCTCCAATTTGGGGAAGACACAATCAAACATTAGAAAAGTTAATCTTTCATGGTTTCATACGATAGATTCAGCTTTTTCCCAAAGTGTGTGTGTGGGGTGTAATTAGCTGATCATTCGCAATAATTATTTGGGGAATTATAAGATCACTAGCCTTAAATGATTGTTTCTTCTCTCCAAATGTTACAATACAGCAATGCCTTTTATAATATCCACTTTATCTATTTTTTCTGGTACATTTGAGTGAAGGGGGGCTCAGTATTTCACAAAGCGACCCTTTCCATCAGTGGACATTTGTAACTATAAAGAAGTTCTTCTTATCTTGAACTGCTATCCTAATTCCTGAATCCTCTCACACTCTGGTCATAATCCTGCCTTCTAGGTCCCATTTATCAGTTAATGGAATATCTTATCTGGCAGGCAGTGCCCATGAAGGGTAAAGAGTTCTCATGTCAACTCTGAGTTCACTTCTTCACATGAAACAGCTTTGGTTCTACTAAGCGCTTATCCTATTGTCACAGACTAGGTCTCAAGAATAAGAAATAGCTCTCTCCTTTCATCCTTTCTAAGCAGTTCCTGTTGATGCTGCTGCACTGTGTCCTTTAGGAGGACATCAGGGAACAGGCTGGCCTCAGTTACAAGAGGGACAAATGTGCAGAGAGAAGTCAATTGTCAGAGCAATCCTCAGAAGAATGTGCTGGACGTTTCAAAGGCTTCTGCCAGCAAATGCCACTATCTTGAACCATATGGGGATTTTCAGGGAGCAATATTACAATAATTTGCCAATAATGCCTGCTTCAGAACCACTGCCAAAATAATCTAACGACTTTTCATCCCACTACTGTTGACAGGACAGCTAAGGATTTCAACATTTCCTTTCACAGTCTGAATAGAAGTTCCTTGCCTTGGGGACTATAACAATATTTGTTAATATTGGGGAGGGTGTGAGTAATGTAAAGGGGGACAAGAGGAAAGGAGAGAAATATTAATGGAAGAAAACAGAGACAAAATAAAATAAGGGATATTCAAAGTTGAGGTTTTAAACACTTACACCAAATTGTTGTTTGTAAATGTATCAGAGAATAAATATTTGAAATTGAGAAAATAAGATATTTTAAGACTTAGAAATAAGTGATACAAGCCCAAATCAAACAACAAACAAAACAAAAAACTTAGCTGGAATTTTCAATTTGAATGTCAACCAAGATATCTCAACTTTGGGTCTTGAGAAAGGCAAAAAGTCCATTGTAATAATTTTATGGTAATCAATATTCAAAAAGATGCTTTTCTAAATGTATTTAAATAAAGTAAGATTTAAAATTACAAAAACAAAAAAACTCTCTCCTGGATTGTTCAAAATTAGATCTAACTTATGGAGACACAAAGAAGAAATCAAAAATAAGAGTAATGGGAACAAAGTGAGTTAGGATAATGTTTTTGAAAATGTGGTTCTCAAAATGCTCTGAGATCCATGGACATGGTTTCATATGATTGCTTCAGCTTTTTCCCAAAGTGTGTGTGTGTGTGGGGGGGGTGTAATTAACTGATCATTAGCAATAACTATTGGGTCCTGGGAAAGGTAAAAAGTTTATTGTAATAATTTTATGGTAATCAATCCCAAATGGAGCAATCTGAGACTTAAACAGTGAGAGACCAATGACATTCCCATCTTCACTTCAATTACAGAGTTCCTACTTTTTTTTTTTTTTTGAGGCATTCAGGGGCTCCCATAGGAGATTTTATTTGAAGAAAGGATCCATTACTGAATAAAAACATTTCAACAAAAAATATGCAAAGGGAGATGAGTCATTGAAAATTCCTGATCCRGGGAGTGATACAATCAAATTGTGCTTTCAGAATCTGGCAACCAAGCACATAAAGGATAGAAACAACCTTGGAATAGGGATCCCAATTAAAGGATATTGAAACAATCAAGTGAGCATAATTAAAATCTTGATCTAGTCCTATCACTATGAGAATGGAAAGGAGAAGGAATATTTGAACAGTTGTGAAAGGAGAATGAGGTTTAAGTTCAATGTCTGGATATCGGGATACAAGGCCAAACCACATACAGATGTGGTATGATATGGAATGCATTTATACAAGTGAAAACTGATGGATTTCAGTGATTGAGAAATGGGACCATAAACATGCTAAATTTGAAAGGCCATTGGAACACTGATATGTACACAACTGGCAAACAGAAATGTGAAACTGAATCTTAGAGTAAATACTAGGGGTATGGATAAGGATTTGGAAGTCATCTTCATAAAAGTGATAGCTACAATAATAGAGCTACGGAGAACTACCAGGGAATACATATGGATCAGAAGGGTGAAGATCAGAACCTGGCAAATGCCTACATATAATAAGCAGGAGAAAAAAGAAACCAGAGTCTGCTCAGAGTTTACGATCAGGCACTTATTTGATAACATTACTTGAGTTCAGCAATATTTATTTTCCAATTTTAATGAAATTTAGTAAAATAGATACACCTGAAATGTGTATCTATCCAGTCAATCAAGCTTTCAGTTTTCCTGAAATATTAAATATTCAAAGTCATATAGTACTATCTAAAAATACTGTTTCTGTCCAAAAATACAGTGGACTGAAGCAAAATCTTCAATAATGGCATATCTATGGATAATGTACCAAAAAGAGTCTCAAAAACCAACACTCCCACGGGCAAGAGAATAGCCAAGTTTGTTGCGATTTCCAATAAATGACATCAGCCCTGTGTAGGTCTCAATCAAAATGGGTTGGGTTAACACCATCAGTTCTTTTTCTCTTCCAGATCCAGCAGAATTCTTACRGGCATTCTGGATAGCTGAAACAAGCTTCGACGTGAACCCAGACAACTGAAGAATAAAAGGGGAAGGCAAAGAGTTAGTAAATGCAGAATAGATCCCGTAGCACCCACTCCCAGTAAGTCCTCTCCTGGGGCCGCAGTTCTTATTTCTTAAACATAAATGGCTTCTTAGAATAGTTAACATCGCTTCTGTTTGTCTTTTCATAAATTAATCAGTTAATAAATTATGTACATAATAAAATTATCTCGTCTTGTTTATTTTCCATTATTCATAACTTGTACAACATTAAGAAGTCAATTTAATAAATATTTGCTGATAGTCTATTATGAATCAGGCATTTGTTGGGCCCTGTTGAAGATTTAAAGAGAAGTAAGATACTGTATCTGCCCTCAAAAATTGTCAATAAAGAATCTGAAAAGTGAACTTGTATCAATAACACAGAGTTTACTAAAATAATCACCAAAAAAAAAGACACAAAGTGCTAAAGAACACAAAAGGGGAAGAAGACATGATTCTTGGCTAGAGGATCAGGAGTGACATCAAAGGGAGACTCTTAAGACAATCCTTAGAGGATTGATAGAATTTCAATAGGTGGAAAGGAGGTTCARCAGGTTAAGGAGGGCCTGGTGGACAGGAGCTATTTTTTTTTCCATCCCAGCAGACTTTCCATCCTTTAGAGTTCTCCTTCTTATAGTACCTCAACTCTCCATTGGACAACCACTCTCTTCCACTTGGTTCCTAAGTATACAGTTTAAGTGGAACTGGCATTAGCATTCACCTCAGGCCACACCAGTCAGGGGATCTTTTCCTCTGGTTCAGACATGGGCACAAAATCAGTGTGCTTGCCAAAATTATAGAATATGAGCCAAAAAGTCATTTTGTGGCAAGCAGCAAACCTGACTGAACAGATATCCAAGGATGAGAGAACTAAGACTTGGGCAGAGAGAGAAATCCTTGAAAGAGTTATTTAAATTACTAGATAAGCCAACTCCTGAACTTTTAAGTTAAATGAGCCAAAAATTTTTTTTTTTTTTTTTTTTGCCTCTTTTGATCAAGCCAGGTGGTATTGAACTTCTTCATTTGCCATCAAAAGAAGAGGGCAATTCCGGGAGCATGACAGAGGTATAGATAAGGCAATCTCTTATCTTTGTATTCCCAGAAAGTCCTCACTATTTCATTCTGACAAAAACCTAACAGGTGAAAAATGTATCATCATTTYCATGTTAAACATGCTGAGAGTAAATGAGCTACCCACAGTAACTCTACTTTCTGCATCATGGTAAAAAGAACATTAGGAATACAGGCCTACTCAAAGCCAGGTTCAAGCCTATTTTTTAGGCAACTGGCTGCCTAACCTGAACTAAAACTCCTTGAATTCATTTCAAGTTAAAAGAAAATTATTAATCATCCTCTACAAGGGGATTGTTGGGTTTGTTTTTTTTTTTTTCCGTTTCTCCATGAGAAGGCCAGTGTTTACTTTAAGAGATCAACCCACAAGTGTGTCCTTGTGAGGAATCCCAGTAGGAGAAAACTGTGGTCAGTTTTTCACCATAATTCAATTGTCCATATTCATTATATCCTATATTTCTATTTTACACCAAATGATAAGAAAAAATATGAAATTGAAAATGTATCCATCACTATTATTTGACCTAACCCATAAGGAAGGAAGGAAGGAAGGAATGATAGAAAGAAGTAAGATCTAAAATAGATGAGTAATGTAGCATTTTATATTCACTTCCCCTTTCTAAGTCTTTCTGAAAAGAAGCATTGAAATCTTCAGCTATTAAGATAATATTGGAGATAAAAAGAAAGAAAGAAAAAGTAATGATTTTGATGATAAAAATCGAGTTTATTGATAAAACTAGAGTTTATTAAAGTACTTCAATGTCTGGGGGWCTCCAAAACAATCCAAAGTATTTGTCCCTGTCTATTTTTCATTAAAGTAATATTCACCTAAATGGATAATATTAAACAATTTAAAAATAGACTCATTTTACTGAGGGTAAAGAATTTAACAGAGCCAGGCATGGTGGTGYGCACCTGTAACCCAGAAGCTATAATCCTAGAGGTCAAGGCATGAAGATCAAGTGAGTTCAAAGCCAATCTCAGCAATTAAGCTAGGCCCTAAGCAATTTAGTGAGACCCTTTCTCTAAATAAAATGTTTAAATGGGCTAGGAATGTAGCTCAGAGGGTGTGCTTAGTAGTACCAAAAATACAAAAAATAAAGAAAGTAACAGGCAAGCAGGGTTTTGCATGTTCTTCATGACTCTCTGTCCACAGTGTAGACAGGCAAGTGGTTCCTCTTGCTACTAGTCTCCAGAACCACCATCTTCTTAAGAACTTGGTGGGAATCACTAATACTGAGATGAAGAGTCATCACAAACCCACAGTATRATGCCCATGAGAAGATGGCATCATCAATAGGGTATCTTTGGGAAAAAAGCAGACTTTCATGTAATCATCAGAAAGCACCAGGAAAACGACAATTCAGACGCATTCTATAAAATAAGCTTCCAGAATTTGTCACAAATGGGAAGGTCATGAAAGAAAGACCAAGACTGAGTAACTATAATAGACTGGAGAAGAATAAAGAGACACACAACTAAATGCAGTGGGAGGTCCTGGATTAGATTCTGGAACAATAGGAGGACATTAGGGGGAAAACGTTTAAATAAAGTTTTCAGTTAATTTAATAGTATTATTCTCRTATTTCATTACCAGATATTGTAACTACATAATGGCCATATAAGTTGTCAACAGAGGCTGGGTAATCGGGGACATGGAAACTCTACTACTTTTGTAAGTTTTCTGGAAATTAAAGTTATTTCAAAGTAAGAAGTTTTGTAAAATCTTAATTAAAAGAAAATCTTAATTACTAACAATTCTAAGATTGTTGAAGTTTTCTAACTGATCAAGGAGATAGATTAAAGAAAAAGTTTACAAGACATTGTTATCTGTTTCTCTTATCTTTATACTTTAATATAAACCTACATAAAAATTATACAAACATTAGTAAAACATTAAAAATGTGTTTTCTATACATTGAAACAATTCATTGAAGAATGAATCTATCCCAAACAGTTGTATAATATTTTATGTTTTCCATTTTAATCTTGTCTGAATATCTTCCACTAGATATATTCTTTTTTATGCAACTTTGATAGTAAAATTTTATTTTTTTTGTTATTTTAAATTTAGCCATTATATGTTATTTTCTAAGAGTATTACTTTTAATAATATTACTTTCTTATGGTTTTAGTTGATAGTTTTAATGGTATTATATTAAATTTAACACTATTAAGTTTGTAATAATATTTAGCTCTATGAAGGCTAAATTTCCTATGGCCAAATTTTGTTAATTTCAGAAATAATACGTGAATTTTCAGTTTGTTTATCATCTACATTTACTAAATGCCACTTTGATTTTAGTTGCTTTGATTTTTGTGTGTCTACAAATTATTTCCAGTAGTATTGGTACTATAACTCTCCATGTCATTAACAGGAAAGGACCCTTACAGTCATTCAAGAAATATTCACAAAACACCTACACTATATCCTGGGTATGTAAGTGCTATGAATAGACAGGCAAGAATTTGCTCTTATTGAGCTTTCAGTGATAGGAGACAAAAGGTAAAAACAGCAAATACAAGTGATTTTGATGKTGATAGACTCTAGGAGGAAAACAAAAGTAGTAAAGGGAGTGAGAATTCCTTCATTTATCATATTCAAGGAAAGTCTTTCTTAGGAAGTAAAAATTAAGCTGAGTCCCAAATGATAAAAAGGAGATAGTCAGGTGAAGAAGGTATTTCAGGAAGAAAAAAAAAATAGCACTTGCAAAGAATATATATTCAAGGAACACAGAAAAGGACTGTAAGATGGGATCACAAGAGACTTGAGCAATGGCATAGGGAGTCTTTGGGGTCTTATCAAGGGCTTTGAATGGAACTGATTTTTAAGGAGAATTTCAATGCTGTATGATTTGTATTTTTAAAAATAATCCTTGCTGCTTTGAAGGTCAAGGATAAAAGCGGCAAGATGGGTGAGTRTGGAGAGTGCAACCAGGCAAAAGAAGTTAGTGGCTTGGAGCAAGACAGCTTCAGTTCAACCAGGGATTTTGTTGTTGTCSTTGTTGTTTGGGGGTGGAGGGGCGGGAGGACAATAGACTTTGCTGGTGCACTTGAATACAGGGCTGAAGAGAAGAAAGGAATCAAATGTGATAACCCAGAATCTTGACCTGAGCAACTGGRTGGAGAGTGATATCATTATGAGTTGAGGAAGCCTAGGAGGGCTAGAGGCTGGAGATGGTGAGATAATGGGATCCAGGATTTCAGTTAGATGTGCACCTGGGTCTGAACATGAAGAAAACATACAGATTAAAAGCCCATATCTACACTTCAAATGTCCATAATAATAATAACCAKAGAACCAGAAGTTAAGAATGACATTTATGGAGTTAACAACCTAAGCAAGAAAAGATGTAGAACACAGGGTAGAAATCAACAAATTCTGAGAATTCCTCTTGAACAAGGTGGTAGGCACTTGGGAAATGCAGAGGGGATCTAACTGGTAACTGAGTGTTCATTCAAATGTTACAGAGTGTTGTTCAACACCAAATAACCRGTGAGCACCTCAACAAAAGCATGGACCCAGCTCCCCTAACTTAGCTTCTAAATTCCTTTCTACTACATAATACTGCTGTTATGAGAAATACTAAATTTCTATATGTTCTTTCTAACATATAGAAATTTAGTATTAAAATTTTAATATTTAGAAAAAGATTCCTGCTTCTCACTTGGAAATAGTGCAGAGAAAGTATTGAATTAAATGTTTTCAAATCACGTACTTAGGACACACACTCACTCTATTTCCTTCTTTCTTTCCCTCTTTCCTTCTTTCTTCTTTTTTAAAGATGAGGGTCTGGTTTTGCCCAGTTTGGCTTTGAACACAGGATCCTCAGCCTCCTGAGTAGCTGGGATTATAGGCATACCTCACTGTGCCCAGTAAATGCATTTCTTTATAGTTRAATGACCACATATAATTTATC